CGTTTGTCCGTGGTGGCTTCAAGCCCTGATGTGGCTCCCGACTTCCCATTTAGCTATCGGGAGCAGTTCAAGTACCGCTGGACGCAGAACTACCTGCTGAGCTCCCTCCTTTCGCTGCTTGGCTCTGCTGTTCTGCTCGTTTGGCCCTGGCGCCCTGGCCCTGCTCCAACCTGCTCCAAGGCTCCGGCCAGGTGAAAACACCTTCCGACTTGCCGGACAGAGCATCAAGATCGACCTGCCAGCAGAGGACGGGGCAGACGGGCCAAGTGCGTGGAGCCTGTTCCTTCCGATGCACTTGCATAGGACTCCGGCATCCGGGGATTCTTCGTGTCCGACCCATGCTTCTCGTCCAAGTATGTGGTGTGCTCCTACAGTTCGACTTTCCAAACTTTGGAGCGCTCCACGAAGCTACTCAATGCTGCCTTTGAAGACGAGTCGATGAACCTTCTCGGGATTCTGGGTGAAGCTTGGCATCATTGACAGCATTCTGCATAAGCCTCATGACGCTGGTATTCAAGACTTTGACGGTTCTGAATATGTCCTGGCGTAGATGGCTGGGTGCCTTCACCGAGAAGGGCTGTAGCAGAAGCAGCGGCATCACCAGTCGCCGCAACGGCAGTAGGATGTTGTCCTGCAGCTGTAGTAGTGGTAGCAATGGTGGAAGCAGAAGTTCGTCATGAGGGTAGTGCTCGTTGTGATAGCCGATGGGAGTTGGAACGCGGTTTCAGTGGCAGTGTCGGGGTGATCGGTCTTGTCGTGGCATGTCGTAGAAACGGCGGCAGTCTGGGTCGTCGTCGTCGTCAACGTGTCATCGTTGTTGGGCGTTATCATCAATGGGGTGCTCCGGTCGTAGCATCAGCAGCGGTAAACGCCGGTCAGTGGTCGCCGCAAGACGAGGTAGTAAGTACCATGAAACATCTTATCTGATCATTCCCTGAACTTTCATGGGCTCGCTACTTTGGGCATCTCTGAAAGGCTGACTGAATCGATTCAAACCCCACTTGCTGTTTCGTTTCGGTTTTCATGTATTGGGGTTTCATCACACAGGCCAGCAGTATGTCAGCATGTGCAGCAAGGTCAGGTTAGATACGGGCTACGCCGACTCGTGCACAGCTGCGCTCAGGTTGGGAACATGAGCATTAGTTTGGGCATAGCCGTGCCATTGGTGTGAAACTTGGTAGTCATGGTGCTGCCGCTGCTGCTGCTACTGCCCGAGCAGATCGTTGCTAAGGACAACTTCTACGATCAGGACGGCGAGGTTTCGAAAGACTTCTTCTCCCGAGTTTCTCAAAACGTGAAGCGTCGCTTCTGGATGGTCGTAAACGGGAATCACGACAACTGGGTCTGTGGCTTCCCGGCTTGCGGAGGCCGGTCCGACAATTTCGGTATTGGTCAGATGCAGTATTACCCGATGGACTCGGTCGCATCTGGGGAGGGTAACAAGCTCTTCGATTTCGTAGATCCAGATGGCAGTCGACACTGGAATTCGTTCTTGAACAACGGCACAAACTTCTTCTTTTACCACAAGCTGGGCAACGTTGGTTTTCTTGGTTATTCGGGTGCAGCTCAATACGAAGAGACTCTTCCACAGCTGCACGCTGCGTGCAGCTACTTCGCAAAATCGAAGCCAGAGGTGATTTTCTTGCTTGGGCATTGGAACAATCCAGGTGACGGATGCCCGAATTCCATGAGCGTCCCTTCGATGTACGAGACGCTGCAAACAATCCCAGACTGTAAACCGCTTCAATCGCGGCTGAAGTACATGGACGGGCATGAGCACTGCAATTACGTGCAGGCAACACACGGAGATAATAAGTACGGGTTTATGATCGGTGGTCACGGTATGGCAGATATCAACTGCAGGCCGCAGTATGGCTTTGCATATCTGGACACAACCGGCGGCTCTTTGAAGCTTCACTACTTTGAGGTTGGTGGTGGAAGCCGATGGGGCACCGTAGCAAGTATGGCTGTTGGGCTCCTCTTGGGTACTGCTCTGGGGATGCTTGCGGGCCTCGCCCTGACGAGACTCTGCGAATGTGCGAGGAACAGAAAGAAATGCACCTATGTCGCTCTCAGCATCCTGGGCCTTGCACTTGGCATCGTCGCAGGATTTTTGCTGGGCGTCTTCTTCATAAATCCCCTGTTCCCTATGGAACATAGCTATGATTCGATCATGGAATGCCTTCAGAAGAATGGCGGCCTCCATGCTTGCACCCATCTGGCCACCGAGTGGTTGAATCAACCCATTAAGAATGCTTCATCCTTTTTGATTTGAAGCCGACGTCGAAGACGTGATACGTAAATGTTAGCATCAGTGAGTCCAGCCTTTTGGCCTTTTGTGGGCTTCATCTCATGCCGAGGGGTTGCTTCGGCCATGACCTGTACAGTTCGAAGCTACCGTGCAGAGCAAGGGAAACCTGACGTGGTGCCGCGGGGGCAGCTACGAGTTCCAGGAAGCGTAGGGCATAGGGTGCATAGAGGATTAATCATGGTTATGGCTTGCAGGTGCAATGGCTCGACATTCGCTCTGCCGTGCGTGAAGCCTTCACCAGCATGAATGGCTCGGCGCTCTGGCTTAGTGTTGCTTTTGCCTCCCTCTTTGGCGCGCTCGAGTAACCCGGTAGAGCAATCAAGAACATTGAAGAACGCTTCATCGCCACGCGATCGCCCAACTGCCAAGAGGATTTTGAAACCGGCGATGCCACACTTATCCAGATTACGGTGTGCCTGTTCTTGCACTTCAGTCAGTTTCAGTCAGTCATGGAGATTCCAGACATGAGGACTCAAGTCCGATTATCCCACGGTGGCTTTCAAGGAGTTGACATGCTTTGTCCCTAACAATCGTGACCCATTCTCGTCGCGGCCTCCCCACTCTTCACACATACATACTTGTGGTGGGCTGCGGCGTTCCATGAATAAATGCAGAGCTGTGCAATGGGTGGTCGTGTGCAGATCGCAGCACTTTCTCGAAAAGGAGGAGTTGTCGTTTCAAGAGCATGTCTGTAGCAATACGGTAACAAACCCTGCGCAGTAATTCCGTACCGGGCACTCTCGAGATGAAAGCTGGTGGGATGCAACGGTTTTGAAAGCCATCAAGACGCCGACGATACAAGCAGCTCAGGGAATACGTTTCGGTTGAATCAGAGCTTCAAAGATTTGAACCTTCCGGTCCCGCGTTATTGAAGACCTCTGCCAAACCTCTTCGAGCTCAAGAAATTTCCGCTTTGCCATCCCGATTTTACGACGAAGTTCATGCATGCCCTGTTTAGCCCATCATGATCTAGATCAAGCAGTCGATGCCCCGTCTTGGTGAACTATGTTCGCCCGTCGGAGTCCAAATGATTGCATTGCTTGACATGTACTTCGCAGAGCTCTACTGCACGAGCCCGAGGCTCCTTCCATCCGGTCAATGACTTCCAGAAGAAGGTGCGGGCGGTGCGGGATCGCAAGGGATGCCAGCGGTTGTCTGGTTTGGGGTATATACCAGGAATGGTCTGAAGATTGAGCTCTCACTGAGCCTGCGCCGCTACAAAGCTATGCTGGCAGGAGTTCGAGCGGCTTGGCGTAAAGCGCCGAGATCCCATGTTCCTGACAATGGCCACACTGCTGGAGGCAGGGCTGTCCGTCTGCCAAACCGTGCCTTTCCATTCATACCGAAAAGGAAAGCTTGCCGCACCACACGGGTGTAGTTCCTGTTGTAAGCACGGGCAAGAGCTCCAAAACGTTGATGCATTTGGCGAGGTGGACTCATTCCCTTCGCTACGCAGCTTCATCATCTACTCAGACCGCCTGGATCCGGAAAAGGAGCCTCTGCGGGTTCCATCTGTGCCAACCTGACACCGAAGAAGGGTGCACATCCGAAGAGCAACGGCTGTGTTTGACTTCCTGAAGCACTTGGTTGCACAGGCCTCTCAGGCATGAGCAACACTGATGCTCTGATCAAGCTTGACTGCACAAATGCAGTGCAGGAGCTGCAGCGAATCCAATGGCTTCGAGATGGAATGACGCCAGAAGAGGCCCACTGGGAAACTAGTCCGTTGCTGTGAAGCCTGGCATGTCTTCTGGCGAAAGGATCCTTTGCTTCAGCTTGACCTTGCTGTTCGCAACCACAAGACTTCGTATAGACTTTCGTGCACAAGCTTGCCAGCAGCAGCCCAGTTGCAAGATTTTGTTTGCAAGGTTGCCACGGTGTGGAGCGCAAAGAAGTCCCCCACAGAGGCAGGCCTTGGCACCTGCGTCTAAGCAGCTACTTACGTACTGGCTGCTTGTACTGATTTGCAGACTTATATACGAACTTACAATGCTTACAAGCACATCCCCCTTTCTGTTCTGCCAGCCTGTACACACAGGTCGCCGAGCGAGCAGGTATGTTCCGCACCGCGGAGGCAGCAGATGCAGGGCTCGCAGCGCACGTTGACAGTTGCGCATTGATTCGCACTTTATCCCCTCCTTCCTAGCGGAGTCTCGCTTGCAGGGCACCACTTGGATTGAGAGAGACTCAGAGCAGTTTCCACAGCGGCACTCCTCACAGGAGCGGCTTCGGCTGTGGACTCGAAGGAAGGAGGACCGTGTGCAGTTACGATGAGCGCTGACTCGTCGTAAGGAATGTAAGGGCTAAGGCCCATGAGGCCATGAGGGCCTAAAGGACCATTAACTCAGACTTTGCCCATCCTGCCAGGATTCAGAAGCTCGACTGTGAGTCTGAGCGGCCTTTGCTGACGAGAGCTCCGCCTCGACTCCCCTGGAGCAAAAGCTCGGCTCTGTGAGCGCTGGCTTCCGCTTCCGGGCCTTTGAGCTCCCCCGCAACTCCGAGGACGTGGAGACTTCACGCGCTCTGTCTCTCTGTCTCTCTGCTCCTGTGCAGAAGAGGGTCTTTCGAAGATGCTACAGAGCCCCTGCCAAGCGACAGACAGTGCAATCGAAGCTTCCGAGCATGTGAAGCATCCATGCATTTGGATTCTTTTCGGTTTTCCTTACATCTGCATCAGCAAGTCAGTGAGGTCTGGCAAGCCTGTCCAAGTTACGACCGGCCAAAGGCCCTTCCGGCAGTCCGAAGCGCAGCGTCGGTTTAGCCTTCCCATTACCCCGCAAGCAGCCTGCACATCGCGATTCATGAGGTTCAGTGCGCCAGTCGCCGTGCCGGCCACGACGCCGGCAAGGCCTGCGTCATCTCACGGTTTTTATGGCTGCCTCGCAGTCTTGACCAGGAGCCGGATCGTGGTCCACCCGCCTGTCATGACAATGTCAGGTGGGAGTGTCTGATCGCCATCGATCCATGATGGGTCCCGCCATGTAGAGCGATGTATGTCTCTAGCCGTGAAGGCGTGCACACACCCCGCTACAGCGTGGGCAGCATGGCTTTGCCGCAGGTCCGGCCAGATTCAGCTTGTGTGATCTGCATCCCGTGGTCGCAGAGTCAGCTCTGACTCCGAAGTAAGTGTGTGTGTGTGTGTGTGTGTGTGTATATGTATATATATATATATGCATATATATATAGAGAGAGAGAGAGGTTACGGGCCTATGGCCTGAGGGTCTTGACGACCCCTAAGCCTAAGCCCAGCAGAAAGAAAGAAAGAGGGGGTAACCCCTACACCATAGCCCTGACGAAAGAAAGAAAAAAGAAAGAGAGAGAGAGAGAGAGAGAGAGAGAGAGAGAGAGGGGGGGCTCGCCCCTCATGCCTGGCGAAAGAGAGAGAGAGAGAGAGAGAGAGAGAGAGAGAGAGAGAGAGAGAGAGAGAGAGAGAGAGAGAGAGAGAGAGAGAGAGAGAGAGAGAGCGAGAGAGAGAGAGAGAGAGAGAGAGCAAGAGAGAGAGAGAGAGAGACTGTCTCCGCAACGGCCTAGCTCGCACGCAGGGGTCTTGGGGTCCTCCCCTAGGCCATAAACGCCCAAGCAAGCAAGAGACTGTTTCCAAAAGCAAGCCTCAATGACAGCTAGAGGGAATCGGGATGACAGCCATAGGGGCCCGGAGATGAGGCTGGGATGCAGGGGGTATAGTGTGAAGGGTTGGGGCTTGCTGCAGGAGAACCTAGGGCCAACCATGTAGTACTTTGCAGCAGTCTGCAGGGACCCCAAAGCCAGCCGCTCACGAAGCCAACGTGGGGGCTGGGCGTGCCGATGGCCTGAGGGTCGCATGGACGACCCTTATGCCCTGCAGAAAGAAAGAAGCAGAGAGAGGAGAGAAAGAGTCTCGCATCTGCCCGGTGGGAGCTCAGTGGCATGGACGTAACCAGCTTACCATATGTGACAACCAGTCTTGTGTTTTGACAACCACCATGCCAGTAGATTAGTCTGTCGCACTTAATGCAGTGCTTCCAGCCAACAGCGGGCTGCCCCCAGCGGGGGGTTCGCACCTCAAGCCTGGTGAAAGAAAGAAAGAGTCTCGTAGTGTCACCCAGACCGGACACGAACCCAGGCGCAGCACAGTGCGCAGGGGCTCTAGGGGTGTCGTCCTTTAGGCTCCAAACGCAGGCAAGCAAGCAAGCAAGCAAGAGTGCCTCGTAGTTTGTTGCCACTGCTTGAGCAACCCCAACGCCGCCCGCTTCACTAACGCAGGGGGAAGCGGGCTTAAGGCCTGAGCGTCGGGCGACGGACCCCTAAGCCCAGCAGAAAGAAAGAAAGAGACTCTCTCAAATGTCGTGGTTCGAGAAAGCGCGTGGCATGAATGTCGTGGACAGGTGAAAGCACAAGAACCACAGCTGACTCCACGAGGCGAATCGGGGCTGGTTTGACAAACTCTGCCGCTGTCTGCGGCTATGGATCAATTAGGATCCCGTAACATGTTTTTCACAGCTAATCTGTCTGTCCGTCGTCGGATTCCACGAAGATAGGCTGGGCGTATGCACCTGTGACGCCTCCAGCTGGAGGCCAGAGTTGGACCCGTTATTCGAGCACTCGTCAACTAATTAGTTGCAACCGTCTTTGTTCTCCGTGGGCCAAGTTCTGATTCCAGATGCCCAGCCGACCGTGGCTGCCCGCTGCACGGAAGTTCCAAAATCTCCTGCCGCAGCGTCGTGTTTCAACTTGCAAAGTAGCTGTTGATGCCGCTGGTCCAGTTTCAGCCAGTGGTCAAGCCATGGGCAACGGACTACTGTCCTGCTGTGTGAGACTCGGCCAAAATCAGAGCAATGCAGTCCGAGGAGCACGTCCGCTCCAAGCCAAACTGTCCCTTAAGATTTGCTGTTACCTGTGGTGTCTCCATTATCCTGAGTCTAGAATCCTGCCCCCAAGCCTCGAAGGAACGACCACAAAGTGGAGACGAAGCTCCAAGTTCCTCGCACAGATCAGTCAAAGAGCTACTGGTAGTTCTAGGAAGCAACTGCAGGTCTGTTTGACTTGAGACTTCAGTGGTGAGTGTTAGCTGTGCGCTGACAGCACCACGGACACAGAGGCTTTGCCACCTCAGCGCAAGCTCCGTCCGCTGCTGTGTGATCTTGAGGCATCGGTACGCTTAGCTGCTTTCAGTCAAGTCAAGCGATCTCGGATCTCCGCCTCCTGGCAGGCTCAGTTTGCTCAGTATGCCGGCTCGGACAAGGAGCTGGACGAGCAAGAATTGGCTGAAGTCTGGATAAAGGCACACGGCGCTCGAATCACTGAATCACCCTCCCTCCCTGCACTGACGCACGACATTTGTCGATGTTTGGAGGATGCAAAGGAGCCCAGTAAACCCAGCCTTGATTCTTTTTGCTTGGCCAAGCTGCAGGCGGCAGAAGTGAAGGTAGGTGCCAGGGCGGGCTGCAAAACCTTGCTGTTCTATCAGTACTTCGTGCTGTTTCTAGCAATCTCGCTCTGTCTATGGGCAACTCGAGCCTCTGCCTTGCCTCCCTGCAGGAAAAGTTTCCCCGGAAGAAGCTCTGTTCATTAAGCAGAGCACGAAGGACCAGACATGTTCGAGTGTGGCTGGCCTCATTCGCTCTGCTTGGAAACTTCCTGCCCGAACAGGGCTGTAATCCGTTGCAGAGGAATACTTCAAGACCATGGACATTGACAAGTCTGGCAAGGTCACCTACGTCGCTTGCTCGCGCATGGAATGCTGTCTGCACATTCGCGACATCGGGAGAAGCGAGTTTTCACCCTCCCTGCCGCAAGGAAGAGTTCGTCGCAGGCATGCTTGGTGGACAGGAAGATGCAAGCCACCTGACGCAGACACCCGGCTGCAGTTCGAATGATTTGGCCCCGGTGGTCGATTCCTGACTGGTTTCTGCAAGACAGGCTTCGACAGGAACTCAACAACAAGATGAAGAGCGATCCTGGTCAATTGCAGAGGCTGGTTTGCTTTCGAGTCACGTGGCATGTCCAGCCAGTGATCTGCAGGCTCCTGAGCCAGTCACACCACTGCACATCAATTCCATTCAATTCCCCCTTCGCCCAATTCCGGATGCCAAGAGCTGCTGTCAGGTTGGTGAACCAATTTCACGAGTGGGTTCGTGCCCTAGCTTCGAGAACATGCATCTGTTACCTCTGGTCGTCGTCGTCGTGCCGCTTGGCAGGACAAGAACGGTGATGGGTATATCACAAAGGAAGAGCTGGAGGAGCGGTTTTCGTGTTGCAAACTCCTTTACTCCAAGCCAAACGGGCGCTGCCGTTCGCCTGTCTGAGGTACGGTACTAGAACTACCTACGGATAACACACTCCCGAGCACCGAACGATACCAAACCATGCTGAGTGCATGTCTATCAATAGACTACTGCCTGGCTTTATGGACCCTTGCCAAGCTGAACCGTCAATCCTTTTGTCGTGCTTGCCGTCCTGCTGACTGGAGCCTGAGTCATGTGGTGAGGTCTACTTGTTCTGAATTTGCACTGCCTTAGCACATGAGATGTTTTAGGAGCATTCCGTCCGTTTCCTCGACTCGGTAGTACGCTTGAGGGAGGGACACCAAACTTCACAGACTTCAGGAGCACGTGGTACAGCATCTTGGCTGCAGTCCTTCTTTCCCCTGCATCATCTTGCAACCGACTGGGCGCCAAGGCTTCAGCAGATGGCCTTGTCGGATGGCAGGGTAGATAAGTCCGAGAAGAAGCGTATTGACGAGGTGCTGGAGAGACGAAGGATTCCTTCCATCTCACCAGCGGGCTCAGAAAGACTGATCGAACAAGCTGACAGGCTCGCAAGATGATGGAAGAGGTCTTTGCTGAGGCAGATGCACGGCTCCCAGTTCCTGTCTTTGTTAGAGGCTCGAGCCATGCAACCGCTCGTCCAGTTTGCCCGCAGGAGTGGTAAGCCCCCAAAACCCGCTGGTTCAACAATTACGTAGTGATGATTGGTTAGGTCCCAAATCGTTCACCGGGCCGGCCCTATTGACTTAACTAAGCGATTACTCGAACGGTCTATGCAAGGTCCAGCAGAATCAAGCTTGAGCCTTGTCTTTGGTTTGAGCACCCCAGCACTGAAGATTCCCCGAAAAATATCCGTGGGATCATCTATTTCAGAGCAACGAAACTCAATTCCTTCAATTTGGGATGTTGCAACGTCTGCGGTAGGTTGTTGATGAATCTGACGTGCAGAGACAGAACGATAAGGGTCGGACTGAGGAAGTGAGACCACCAAAAAGACTTGTCAAGTGGGTAAATAAGGTGCATCACAGGTGGGGCTATCACATGAAAATTGTTCGCATATCAGTAAATATACATACCAATATATAATCTCTATTTATATACACACGCACATAATACATACATACATACATACATACATACATACATACTTCTTCCACCGCCGTAAGAGAGTCTCACGATGCGTCGAAGCAGGCAATCTGTGCGATCGGCGCCTCCAGGGCGCATGTCCGGTTCTTGTTGGACATCCTGTAAAACTGGAACTCTCAGGACCGGGCTTCGTCAGCACCCGATAGCAATACAACAGCAGTAGCCACACCAAAGACATCGCCCAGCTCACCCGGCGTTACCGCCCCATATGCGATGAGCTCGAAGCCGATCCCGCAAAATCCTAACTCTACGATTTTAAACCGCCTGTTTCAGGCACTGAGTGCGCTCCTCTGCCGACTCAAGAAGTACAAGTAGGAGTTTGACTCAACTATTTGTACCTCCTCGCTAGTGATACTCTGTGTGCGCATGTTGTCCTCTGTGGTGCTCTGCATATTCCATTGGCACAGGAGGACAGTACGATAATGGCCACCCAAGCGGGAGTGGCCCAGATGATAGACAATGGCTTCAACCGTGTAGGCATGCGAAGTCGTATGCAGCGTACTGTCGCAGAAGGTTGGTATATACACAGTTCGGCTAGACCTAACTCGGACCGCCTTCTTATCACCATTATCTTTAAATCTACCAATCTGGACCACAAGCGACTGCGGGGCGGTCACCAGCGCATGCCGCTGCCCTTGATTGCGCCAGCCAATGAACAGCTTTTGCAGACTGAGGTGTGCAACTGAGGGGTCGACTATGTTGAGTGGGAGTGGCCACACATGTCCATGATCAGCGACCTGTGCAGCATGGCGCCCACCCTCTAATGCAACCTCTATCCTAGCCTGCCACGAACCCTCAATCGCTGCCGGAGCGCACTCCCACCGCAAAAACTGAACGAATTCCGCAGCATCATGCTGCCGGCCCGGTTGCTGCCACCTGCACACAAGGTGGCGCCAGGCTCTGGCTTCCCACAGGTCTAGGCTTTGCGGTTTGCGTGTAAGCCAGCCTAGGAACCGACCCAGCGGCAAACCTACTCTCAAACCACCCATGCTTTGGCAGGCATGCCACAGCAGTGCAAACACAATAGCATTAGCATAACAGTGGGAGGAGTTGTTGCAGAGGATCAGGCCTCCGATCTGCGCCATGCCGGGGCTCAAGCAGATTGAAGCATCTGGTCTATGCGCATCGCCAGTGGGCTTCTCCCCAACTTCTTGGGGCGCATTGTGGCCCCGATCAGGTGTAGGCATCCGTTTCGGCAGAGGCGCCGCATGAGGAAATAGAATTGCTGGGATTCCTGTGAGCGGTTCTGGACGGAAAGGGTGAATGGTATCACCTCGCTCTCCAGCGACTCCGTCATCTTGCGCATCGGGTGGAACTGTGCAATGACGTCGGGGAACGCTGTCAGGTGGATGAGAAATTCGACGATTTCCACGATCTTCGAGTGAGCCAGAGGCTCCTGAGCATCCTTCTCGTAGGTCCGTGTCCGGGCATTCCATCGAAGATACAAGTAATTGGTCTCCTCCGTCAATCCCAAGAGCTTGGCTTTCTTGGCCACTTCCTCCTCTGTCTCCATCCTCTGAAGGCGGGTGCGCAAGGCCGTGAGAAGACAGTGAAGAAGGACGGTTCTCATCGGTTGATTCAGCGAAGCTTCGTCCTCCCGCTTCTGGCGATTCCACTCCTTGGCCACCGCAAACAAGCTGTCTGTGATGGACCAGCCCTTCTCTGTTTCCCTCGTTTGAAGGAAAAGCATGAAGCTGGTGTCGAGGCTGGCCAGATTGGCCTGGTCCTCCAATCGGAGCGTGAGCCGTCCGATCGCAAGCACCAGATCCCGAAGGCCGCGGTTCTCTCGCTCCAAGGCCTGGCTCCTTTTGTCGCCCCGATCCGCTCTGCCGTTGCCTCGACGATCCGGCTTCCACCAGTCCTGATCGCTCCACTGAACCCGTGTTTGAGGTCGCAGGGGCTGCTGGCGCTGGTCCTTTGGCTGTCTCGGCCGATCGTGGTGAGGGCTTGGCGCGGCTCCTCCCTTGCCTTTGCCTTGTCGCCCTCTGCCTCCGGTGGGTCCTGATGCCCCGCTTCGCGTGCCAACTGCTCCCTTTGTTGTCGCCTTTGGACTGACTGCGTGCCCACTTGGGAGGTGTCGCCGGGTTCGGCTCCCCTGCCGGCCTTTTGTCCCGATCCAGGTCCATGTCTCCTGCTCGGGTTGCCCGATCCGGCATCAGCTCCTCCTCCGTCTCCTGGGTCGCCCTGGCTGAGGGCGGGGCCGTCGAGGGCTCTGAGCTGTCCATGCGATCCGTCATGTACTCCGCGAAGCCCTCTAGCTCCGCTGAGGCCTCCTGGAGATCCTTTCCAACCGAAGGCATCAAGACTCTTCTGTCCTGAATCCGCAAGAGTATCAAAGCGATCCAGGAAATGACCACACACCCATAACATGACACACGATTTCTTATGCACGGATGCCGGTCCTCGGTACCTGACCCCGCACCAATTACACGGGCACAGAGGAGGACGCCGCTCCTTGATCCAGCTGACAACTCGCGGCTGAGCACTTGCAATAGCAGGATGCATCTGGCAAGCATGTCTGGCCACATAAGACGGCTTTGCCATCCACTGGAAGCATTGTGGACAATGATGCGCAGAATCTGTGCGTGCTATGGCTGCAACAAGTTCCTTGAGCGTGCATTGTTTGGCTAGTGCCTGCAGTTCCGGACGATCAAACAGCGGTATATCTGGGGGTGGCGGGATGCCAGCGCCCTCTGGATCAGGTGCTCCTGTGCTGGGATCGACCGGTGCAGCAATCGCGGAAGTGTCATCTGTGCCGGGGTTTCGAGCGGTCGGGCTCAGGGTATTAGGGGCAGCCGCACTGGAGCTGTAATGGAGTGTAGGACACGCCTGCTGCGAAAAATGTCCGCGGAATTGCAACCAGCCGTAGAAGCGGTTGCCACAATGTCGGCACTGAGGCATTCCTTTTAACGCGTGTTGCCTGTAGGCTTCACAGCGGACATTCTTCTCTCGCGTGCTCCGTGCTTTGGGAGGGCGGGACTCCGCATGCTGCTTTCCAATGTGAACACTGAGTGCATGGGAGCTGGGAAAGTACTGACCACACTGTCGGCACACACACCTAAAGGAAGCAACTTGTGTAACCTCCTTAAGCTTACAGGTGTGGTCCAGCTGGAGGGATCCCTGGTCCCGCTCCCCCTCATGCAGTGCAAACGAGCTTTGCAATTGATTCCACCATTGGTGAACCACTGCCGGCTGAAGGTGGCCCAGTTCTGCCCTACTCGTGGTGATGCGCTTCGCAAGGCCAGCAGACAAAGTGACAATCGGATCCTCCATGCCTAGCCTAGCATAGAGGCTGCGTGTAGTCTCGTGAGTGACATGCGCCGGGCACCTAGCAACTATTCTGATCTGTTTAGCTACTTGCGCTCTGAGCTTGTCCACCGACCATTCGTCAAGGCCTACCGCTGTGAGTCCATATTGCAAGATGCTCCAAACACATGTTTTCCAAAGACACACCCTCCTGCTGACCGGGATGCTAGGATGATTCAGAAACAAGTGCAACCTGTGGAACGCTACCCTCGCTAGCCGAAGTCTCTCAAGGACAGTGGCCCGTTCAAATTTACCATATCCTATCTGGATGCCCAGGTACTTATGGGTCTGCTTGAGGGGGATCCGCAGGTCTTGGGAGGCTAGGCTGATTTTGAGGAAGCGGTCCTTGCCAGCCCTGTACGTGTACTCCTTCATCAGGGCTTGGGATGCTGGCCCTTTCATGGCTAAGAGGGCAGCTGTTTTATCCATGGCTATGAGCATACCATGGTTTTCCATGATCTGGAACAGCTGTCCTATCTGAATTCCTGCGTTACGGAACTCTCGAGGCGTGGTAATGCTCCAGCCGACATGCAGATCATCCGCAAACAGAGTGATGGGATCCGAAGGGCATACTGCACTCATGTCATCATGCAGTAGGATTGTGAACGCTAGCCATAATAGAGGGCTAAGGCAGCAGCCCTGCCGCACTCCACAAGCCATTTCAACCGAAACACATAAATCCTGACGTTCAATGACGATGGTCGCGCTATCATGTATATGCATTATGGCAGAGATCAAGTCGCTGGGTGCATGGATGCGCTGGAGTGCCCTGAGCAGGCTCGCCCTCGGTAATCTATCATAGGCTTTTGATAAGTCGAAGGAGACTTGGAGGCCACAAAAGAATTGTTGGTTACCTCTTCCAGCACGCTTGTCGAACAGGTTATTGCTAAGCTGGCCTAGCCTGGTACGAACCTGCTGACAGTGGTCTGACAGTGGCTAATCACACGGTCTATAGAGTCAGCGGTTTGCTTCCCACGAAGATAAGCGAATTGGGGGACAGCCCAGAGGGCTTTCTCTAGAAACGGGCGTAACCTATTCGCTAAGAGCTTCGCAGTGATCTTAGCCATAGCCGGTATGAGGCATATAGGGCGTAAGAATTGCGGGGCAGAGGGCGGTTTACCTTCCTTAGGGATGAGGATCATGTACGATTTGTGCCAATCTGCCTGCAGTTTAAGGACCCCCGGACCCAGAGCTGCTTGTAGCTGTGCCGTGGCGACCGGCGCTACCTCCTGTACACAGTGTTTCCACACAACCGCGGGCGCATGTCCAGCAGGTAATGCCTTGTTGCTGGGAAGCGACAGGATAGCGTCCGTTACCTCTTGTAGGGTAGGCTGAAGACCCCATTGCAGCGACCATGTAGGAGTTGGGGGTTTCAGGTGGGCCTGGTAAAGGTCACCGAAAAACTGCTTCAATTGTTGGAGTTCCTGCTGAACGGTGAGCAGTCTGCCCTCCGCGTCCCGGAAGTGAATGCTACGCTTGGAGGTTTTGGGTCTGAAGCGATTCAGGAGCTTATACAGTCCAGTGAGGCCTGCACGGGTCGCCTGTTGAGCCTCTACAATGAGATCCTCAACTTGTTGGCGTTTGCGTTCTCTGGCCCTCCGTCGCAGCTGTCTGTCCATACTGTGGAATGCCGTTGCGTGTTTCCAGGCCTGGATCCAGCATCGCAAGCCAAGAACCGCCCTAGGGAAGTGTCGGTTTATCAAGGCGACTGGAGCATGCGCTACGTGCAGAATTGCAGGTCCTGCATATAAATGGACCACTTCAAGATGATGACTAAGGAGGCGCTTGGTGGTCCAGAACTGCTTTAAAGTGCTCACAGTGTGTGGATCCAGGCGATGAGGCTGCGTGCCATCAGCAGCCTTCTCCACCGTTGGACTGCTTCTGTCCGCAGGCGTGCCCGCCACGGGCAAGCTAGGAGTATGGCGGGAGAACGTGTGATTCCAGGCGGTCAGGAGACACCGATCTAAATCCTGTGAGCCTTGCACCTGCACCTGGCCTAGCACATCCTCCCTAAGCTGGAGTTCCTGATGACTCGGGGCCGCCGCCAACTGGGCTTTGGCAGTGGCAGCTGTGAGTTTGCCAGCGCAGGGCTGGCCCCGCGGGCAACGCGGCCGGGGAATCAGGCACTGCACCGGCACATGTCGCAAACCTGTAGGATGGACGATTTCAGCCTGTTGCAATGCTCTTGCTTTGAGAGTGTCCGGCGGGCAAGGCAACCTAGTGATTATGTAGTCTAGCTGAGCCCCAAAGCAGTGTTCACGACGAAAGGTGCTGGCCTGATTTCCTGAACGGCCCCACGAATTGGTGGCAACTAGGCCATTGTCACATACAATGCGCTGAAGCTCCTCAGCATCAGTGTGAGGGGAGTGTTGACTATTTGTGACACCGGCACCGATGCGGGGCGGGTTGGGCGTGAGTGTGCTGTTGAAGTCTCCTAGCAAAACCAGGCTGTTGCGTCTGGGTATGGAGGAGATCCACTGTTGAATGGCACGCCATACTGTCACTCGTTTGGCAACAAGCTCCTGCACACGATCAGACTGCGAACCCACCAGGCTTTTGTTGTGAGGGTTCCATGCTCTCTGATACACGCCTAGAAAGTCAATAGGAGGGTTGAGTTCCAATCGTATGTGTAGGAGACGTCCCGGAATGGGCTCACCAATCCGAATTTGCTCCTTGCGCACAATCTTGGAATGAATCATGAACAGGATTCCGCTCTCAGACTCTCCACTGCCCGAGTGCACGCAGTGCCACTCGCCTGAGCGGAACTCCGAACTCTGAGGCCATTTCGTTTCCTGGACACAGACAATTGGTGGTCCGGAAACTTGGTTTTGCACACTCCGGAGCCAGGCCTGCAATTCCGTAAAGCGGGCCGCGTGGAGCCCTCCGCAGTTCCAGCTAATGACGCTCAAGCTGTGCTCAGAGCAGTGAGACTGCCTACGGGGCATAACAACCTGATCCCTAGAAGACTCGCCTATCCTAGAACCCTGGGATGGGATGCCTTGGGTGCCTGTCGGGGCTGAAGGCGTTGGGCTGAGAGGCTGCGGAGCGTGTGTGTGTGTCCACGGTACTGCGTGCTGCCATTTTGCAAGGCACGAATTTGCGCACGCCGGAAGGCGCGCTTTCTGGCCGTTGACAAGCGGATGGCAGTATGGCTATGGGCTGTGAAGGTATTGGTGCGACTAGGGGGACTACTTCTCGGGACGGGCTCCTTACTATCAGTGCACGGGTGGGCTCCAGACCTGCCTAGAACACAGAACCAGACCATCGCACCAATCAAACGTCTAAAGGGAAGGTTAAGGCTCTTAGCGCGGGTGCATCTGGGGACCGTGCATCCTACCGGGGGGTCTGCCTTGTCAGCTGCCACCGCCGTGTCAGGTGAGCGCATCGCGTGCACAAGCACACTGCCGGGAAGAGAGCTGTTCACGAGGCGCCGTCTGTACTGACCTGGTATAACACGGACAACACACCACCGAGACACACCATCCCTAAATCCCTTGCAGAGCCCTCTTAGTCCTACCCAAACCCACTGGACCAGAGCAAGGAAGCACGCTAGGATGGCCCCACACCGCATACGATGGTGACCCTGCAGGCCGCCTCCACCATCTCGGGTGCTCCTTGCATCGCCCCTGAAGAGCACATGGGTTGGGCTCGGGGAGGTTAGGGTCTCATTGGAGCTGGCTATTTCAGTGAAGGGATAATTGCACACATCGGCAAGATGAGGAGAAAATATGCCAGTTATGAATTCACTTGCAAAAAGAGTTCCGGGGAAGCCTGTCCCGGGAGGGCACGCTTCGAAAACTTCGATCGGGTCGCAGTGCTTCGCCTTCGTGAGATCAGCACTGGGAGCAGCACGATAAGCTCCCGAGGGGGCGCAATCACACCTACCCTCAACCCTCGCATCTGTGCAAGGAACATTCTGAAAGAAAGCCGGAAACAACTCGCCGAAGCTAGTGGTATCAGTGTCCCTCTTAACCCGAAATGCCCTTGCACCCCTGGAATTGGGACCAGGGCGGCCAGGAAAACCAATTGCACAATGTTGGCAAGGCGCAAGTGTGCTTATCCAGCAGGACATCTCCAGACCACCAGCAGAACATCCATCGCCATCATGGTTCCTCACCTGGATCGACTGGAGATGGAGGCGGGCTAACCTCCGGTCCAGCCTCGCTTTCCTCCACCGGGACGTAGTGAAAGCCATGGCTGTACGCCTGAAACCAGCTTTGGAAGCCCAGTTGGTCAGTTGTGTCCAGCAATGGCCACATGGCTTGTAGGAAATCCTGATAGAGTCCCAGCGAGCAGCGCTCCACGATGTCCTGAGCATATTGAGCAGCATGCGGGCACCACAAGTCGCGGGCCAGGGCTGGGGCAATAAGCAGCTGCAGCCTCTGGACCAGAAGATGTTTCGGCGGGTGGTGGCTTGCACCGGCTGCATCCAGCCACACTTGGTCATTGGGCAGCACAGGCCTCGAGAGTCTGGCGCGCAAGGTGTCCAGATCTTGCCGAAGCTCGTCACCATGTGGGGGTTCCAGATGTGGCAGGACATACGCCACCATATCGGATGCTGTGCTGGTGTCAGCTCGCTTCCGAAAATTCGCCATCGATTGCACAAGGCTCCGACCTGATCGTCCTTGAAGTTCCAGGCTTCGGACCATGTACAAGTAGCATAAGCGAACTGCCACTTGTTTGCGAAACCAAGACATGCATCGCTCTCTGGTGCGCTGCCGGTCAGCAGCCAGTCTGGCTGCTTCAGCTCCAGCTGATTCGTCCCCTCGTGAGGAAGCAGCCATAGCAGCACCAGAGTTGCAGCTGCTATAGCTGTCGTCACTCGCCTCAGAGAAGCTCGACTCCGCCACTGAGCGTGGCATGCACGACCTGCCATGCAGCGCGCCACCTAACCTGTCAGGGAAAACCTGGGCCGAGATGCTTATACATACATACATACATACATACATACATACATGTGTATGTCTGCATGTCATACGTACACACCATGTGTACGAATACAAACATGTGCACATATATTGTATGCACACATAGATGTGCATGTGTATATAAATAGAGGCATATTCGCAGGTACACACATATTATCTAGCTTGTTCAAGCGCGTGCTTGGATCCATGAGACTTGCTCGTGAGGTAGACTTGGATGGACGGGTGGACCTCTGGGAGGTGATGGCATATGTGCTTGGGCGGAAGATGCTTGGAACGCACAGCCATGTGCAAGTTGGTCGGAAGGGGAGGGATGCCACTCCCTGTCGTTTGTAGTATTGACTGTCAGCGGCCTGCGCGGAAGCTGTCGCCATCGAAATCAAATGACTCTTGAAGATGTGCTGTACCCAGGAAGCAGCCTGCGTGGCGCTTGGATTCAAGCTCAAGTACAGCTTTGATCCAGCTGTAGCATCTCAGTCACGGCGAGTAGTATTATGCCACGTGAACGTTTGCAGCTCGACGGCCTGTTTGCCTGTACAAGCTCGGCGCATGGCGCATCGTTGAGGTCGAGTTGCTTCTCTACGACATCTCCAAGGGCACCTTGCTACAAACAGAGGTGGTATCTTGCAGAAGGGCAGGCGATTAAGACTGTGAGCCGGTCAGCTAGCAAAGGAATGGCAGCCAAACTTGGGCCGCTACTCCTTGGGAAGAGTGCCGAGGCCCAGGATACGGCCACACGCAGTCCGTCACAGTCAAAGGAGTCACAGGAACATCATTGCGGCTTGCAGCAGGCTGTGCACACTGGCGTCCTGGTTTACGGCAGCGAGTACTGGTACGGTGTCTTGGTGTTGAACTATTGGGAGATAGATAGGGGAAACAGTCTCGCCGCAGGAGCATATGCAGTTTTCATGTATGAATGCCGGCAAATTAAGGTGGCAAAGTCTTCCGGAGCAATCCGCCGTGCCGGAAGCAATTTGGTGAGCCGCTGAAGCAGCCTTGGGGCATTGAACTGGAGCAGCCCGTCACTGAGTCGCTCAGCTGTGCTCGTTTTACGTCGTCTGCTGGAGCAGCAACGAGGTCCGAGGCTGTCCCTGAGCTGCCGGTGATCCGGCTTGGATATACTTTCGTCACGCACCAGGACGGGCAAAGGTAAGAAGCGGCAAGGCCTGCGGAGTTCTCAAGCCCTGTGAGAGGAGTTCCTCCAGTGGCTGAAATCTGGAGTCCAGGAAGCGGTGCTGCACAGCTGTTCCTAACATGCAAGAGACGCAGTCGTCCATTGCCTCCATACAAGGAGCGATACACTGGACTGCACACGTACGACCTGCTGTCGCACAGTTGTAACCACTTCAGCAACGAGGTGCACGAGTAAGAGGGCAAAGAATCTTCTGACGTGCCTCCATCCCTTCCACCCAGCTTCTCTTCTCTGAGATCTTCCTTGGCCGCTTTCAGCAAATGTGGCTGCACTCGCTCACCCTGCAAGGTGTGCACGTTTCTGCTCGGGCAAGGGATTCCGGAGAAAATTTTTGAGCTTCAGCATCTTGGAAGCTGTTTCATTGCTGTACTTGCAGTGCAGTCCTTGCATGGCAGCATGTGAAGCAGCATGGTTTCGCTCTGCGAATGCGTCGCACAGGCTTGCAATTGCTTGCTGCTCAACATGTGCCTGTTGTAGCTGCAGGAAGACATTTCTGTCTGGCCCGATTGTAGCATTGCGCGCGGTGCTCGGGGATATGCGCATCGTCTTTCCAGACCAAGCTTGTGCATGCATGTACATAGAATCAACATGCTTGGAGCCTGACATACCCTAACTGCAGGGCCATTTCTGAATCGCTACCTTGGCGGTTTCGCACATCACGACAAGGGTCTTGTCAGAGGCTAAGACTTGATGTTGTCATCTGTGAGAATTTCAGCGACTCAAGCCCCCGCGTGTCCGGGCCGAGGATGAGAACCTCATGTCCAAGGCTGGTCGACCAGAGCAATTGTGGAGCATCCAAGCAAGTTTCTGCGAGGACCAAGAAGTCGAAGGTGGCCAGGTAGAGTCCATCAAGGACGAGCTTCTAGGCGCCGGCGACGTGGTGCTGGTGGAGGTTGGGCCAAGACACCGTTGAAAGCTGCCAACCTAGGACATGCAGTAAGATATCCTTGGGGATGAGGTTGTTTCCATGTACAGCTAGAAAGAAAGGGCATCGACTCCATCCATGGCGCCGTCTTGGCCACGATTCTGAAGGCTGGACCCTGGGTTTTGCCCTGACGATGCCATGATACAAGTCAGAAGTGTAGGAAAAATGGCAGACCGCACGCTTTCGGAAGCTCAACTTCTTGCAGGAGGAGAACGGGAAGTGCGAGATCAAATATTTCGATCCCACGGAGAACCGAATCGAGACCATGTCTCTTGGCGATGAGCGAGACCCGAGAGGCAAGACCTGTTCCGCTCGTGTCCATGCAGTTCTCGCAGCGCCGAGGTCCAATGTTCCACTGTCCAAGTGCAAAAAGACCGCTTCTTGAGACCTCTCTGCGGTGTGTCCGGGGAGGTCCTTCTCCGAGGTTGTTTGGGAGGAATTCACAAGGAGTTCTTCATGTAGAGTTGCTCCTGGAAAATGGGAGCTCAGTGACAGAAGCCCACAATTTCCTTTAACCATCGCATACCGTCACCACGAAAGGGGACAGGAGATTGCCTCCCAATGTGCTGGATGACTTCGTGCTTGAGGGCTTCAGCAATTGTTGAAGACCCCGCTGAGACCCACGATTGTAGAAAAAGGGCGCATCGGCTGAGGGGCTTTGGTGAGCTCTTCCAAAACCACAATCAGTCTGGAACTGGTAGGTGGTCCGTGCCAGGCAGCACCGGCCTCGGCATCCGCTGGAGACGCAGATTCTTTCGCAGCAGTAATGCACCAGCCTTCGCAGGTGCCGCTGCAGCCACAGCACGCCTTTCAGAATCGATACACAGGACACCTTCACCCAGCCCAACACCAGGTCCTGCCCACGCAATCGCATGCGTCGCAGCTACAAAGCCCAGCAGTGGCGCCAAACGTGGCAACTATTTCGTCGTCACCTCCAGTGCTGTGGCAAGTTCCACAGGCCTTACACGTCGTGCTTTTCTTATGTGGCTGCATGCATGAACGTATTCCGTAGGTGCAAACGCCAACCATACCCATCGCAGCTTCCACGGCGCAGTGGGAGGGGCCAGCACCCAAGTCAGAGCCAGACGCGGTAGGCATCCCGTGGCATCGTCCTGGTGTCCTGTGGCATGCGTTATCGCCTGTGGGTTATCTCGCAATTAACGGGCATGGCAATTAACGAGAATGCCATCGTGGATTGCCATACTCCATCAGCTTCTTTCTGAGGCGTTCTCGATCTCCTAGCCCCGGCTTGCACGGGCCTAGAAGCCAATCGGCAGAAAATGCTCGGGCCTTTACAGAAGCAGCGGAACAAAGCCTCATGCCGATGCTGAGAGCAAGGTGTCCTTGCGCCGCCCATCTACTCCGCCGGCACCATTCGCAGCACCGTTCCCAGAAACTCGAGATATGCACCTTGCAAGTCCTGAAGGTTCCATGAAGTTCCCGGACGCACCTAACGCATCGAATGCGCTGCACTTCAGGTCTCCACACTGTCACAATGCCCCGGCGCCTCCATGCCCAGCACTCCGCGTTTCATGGCACAAGAGGCCATGCAGTTCTGGAGTCAGGGAATGGATTCATCCAGCGTTTCTGCATCGCGTGGAGGCTCAGGCCATGGCAAAAGCAGCAGCAGTTGCGGTGGCCAAGGCGGAAACTAAGTCTTGCCAGTAGGGACTTACCCAGACTCATGCCGCAACAACAGAGGTGCACACACACACCACGCGCACGCGCCCGTGCATGCGGACCCACACAACACACTTTGGCTTGGCACGAGCTGATGCAGTAGAAGACAGACAGGACAAGACGAGACTTGGACAGATTGCAGCAACCATGTAGTATCACTTCAGGCCAACTATAGAACCAACAGCTTGTTTTGGGACATTTAGGGCGGTCTTCTTGCAGGTACGTCCAACGGCGTCCCGTTGGATTTCACTAGCTCTTGTTCAGTGTCTTCGTTGGCGCAAGACTGAACGAGCTGCTTGCACCCCCCCCCCCTCTTGGACAGTCGCCATGTCCAGGCGTGTACAAACACACACTTGCATTGGGTCTCCGTTCATACTCATGCCAGCGGCATTTCTTAAGTTGCAAAGCCTGAGTGCTTCAAGCTGTAAGCAACGCGACCGCTTCACACAGAATTGCAACCTCTCTCTACATGGAGGGCGGAACTGGCACAACGGCTTACGTTTGCATCCATCAGTTTCTTTTGCCCACAACTTGGAGCCGAAAGACATCACACCGCGGTCGTCGGCTGACGCTCGAATCAGCCGGGTTCCGCTGGGCAGTGCAAACTCTGAGACAACAGCAGGGTTTGCTGGCTAGCAGCAAACCGAGACCATGGAAGGCTTCAAGACCGTTGCCGAGGGACTCTGCATCATGGGGCATCATGACTGAGCACTGAGCCCTTCCATGTACAGTCCGATAGGAGCTCGCAATGACAGGACAGTCTTGACTAATCACAGAAGTTTCTGCCTGAAGGTCCAGCAAAGGCTGCCCACATTGCTTTTCGCTCTTGCGCCAGGCAGCTCCCGGCATGAACATTGTAGTCCGGGTCTCAGAAAACGATGAAGTTCTGATGTGGGTGGCTAGCCGCAGTTCCACTGACAGGTCCGACCGGTTTCCCAATCGCAAGTTGCGATGCTGACTCAAGAGTTGAGGCCAGCAGTGTCCAACGCCTTCAGTCCAGGCCCGTGGCTGTAGAAATGTCAAGCCAACGACCCCTGCAGCAGGCAGAAGCAGCAGCATCGACCGACTTCGCCAAGTGCTGAGGCCCGGATTCAGAGCAGGGCACGGGGCTGCCGGCCGGGGGCGGGCACGAGCAAAAGACAGAACGGGCATAGAGCAGCAACAGGCAGCGAGCCGGAGACAGAGCAAGACCCGAAAACCGTGACCCTTGCGGGTCTGATGCCCAAGTCGCCAGCTGGCTTCGTGAGGGTGGGCGCCGGGTGTCAAGGCCAATCCACAAAAAAACAAGTGTTTGGCACGAGGTGAGAGGCACAGACCACGCACAGCTCCCCGAAAGAAGGATGGAAAGCCAGGTAGGACGAAGGCACTCGCATGAGGAGGGAGGGTGAAGAACGAGCCCGCCTGCGCTGCCCCTGTTGCACAAATAGCATGGGCTGGGGCATTGCCGGAGGCCGATCACACCACCGAGGAGCAGCTCAGGACCCTGTGCCTGCAGCATGTAGTTCGTATTGCATCTTCGCGAAGCAGAGCTTGGAAATGACAGAGTCGGTGCTTGCACGCCAGAAAGGAGCTGCCAGGTCGAGCTTGCAGGGCTCCAGAAGGAGGCACTACCGAGGATTCAGCAGGTATATGGGGGTGGTTGATGGGCCCGATGAAGTATCATATCTTACAAATCCCCATGTCGCATCTCTTCCACAGAACAGATTGTAGTAGAAATACCATGGTTATTTGACATATTGCCAGACAACGTTTGCAAGGCGTTTTCACGTTTTGCGTGTTTATGTACTCCGGTCGCCTGGAAGCACCCGTGCCAGACCTCAACAGGTCTTGCGACATCTAAACGGGCAACAAATCTGAAACCTAAAACATGAAAACGCCAAACGTACAAGACGGGTTGTTTGCTGTCGGGCAAGCATTATACGTACCTATTTATGGTACATGATACGTCGGCTGGTTCATTGATTGCCAAGCTCAAATCTAGAACATAGCTTTAATGGAATCTTATCCGGCCAAGCTCTACCCCGAAAATGTCGTCCCAACCGGAACGCACCAAGCTCGTCTCTAGGTAGACTCGCTCGGGCAAGTCTGCCGCGACTTCCAAGTCTGAGCATGGCTTAGTGAGCTTTAGAGCCAGCGCTGCCCGGGGGACCTGGCAGAGCATGTACAGCTTCAGCTTCGACAGTGCTTGGCTGCTTGCCTAACAGGGTGTCCTGGCAACGCTTCAAAACAACTTTCGCAATCTACTAATGTGGTGTTGATGGACACGCTGTGCGCAAGCAGACAGAGTCGATTGATGTTGGTTGAACTTAAATCCATGCAAATGCGATCGACCCTGTGCCGGCTGCGCTAATGGTTTTACGTTCCGCGGTGTTTCAGGATGCCTCGTTCTCAGCAAGTAACGAGCCACATCCGTTCCGCTGCTTGCTACTGGACGGGAAAGTGCTGGCCAGCATGCGAGGTACAAGCAGAAAGCATCTTCGCAATCACATTTCACAGCTCCCCTCGCAGGCATCCGAGAGGGTAAGCACTTCAAGCATCGAGGGCCCCTTCCAGCTGAATCAATCTGAGGAGGCGAGGCAGAGCGCGGGATCCCTACAGCGGATGCAGCCTCCGTACAACTGATGCAGGTGCCTCTTGTTTGCTTTCAGTTCAAGATGTCTCACTTCGTTTGCAAGGCACGGCTTGCTGTCTTGCGATGTGCGCTGGGATTGCTTCGCGATTCATACTACAGCCAGGCCTTCCTAGCTGCTGGAGCGGACGAAGGCGCTCGGTGACGAAGCGACTTTTGACCGAGCTCGCAGTCCGCACGACCAAGGCACGCGCCATCTGAAGCTTCAAACCATCTTCGAGGACAACCGGCAGGGGCTGGTCGAAGAGCACAGGCAGAGCTCCAGCGGTTGAGTCTCAGCAAAGCCGGTCACGGCAGCTGTCAGAAGACTTCGTTAAGGCTGGTAATCCATGCCTTGGCCTTGCAGGTATTTCATGGCGAACGAGTGGAACTCGAGCAAAGCGTGCCCGATGCGAGTGTGCTTACGATGCGAATTTTTCGTGGCCTTTCAGGGACAGTGAACGAACCTTGGATGCCCCAGCCGCCTAAATATTCGGCGTAAACTGAGTTAGCTTGCGAGCATTGGCTCAAGTCCAGCACATGACAGCAAGGTAGTAAAGTACCTTCAGGATGCTTGGGCCAGCAGAACTTCATGAGGTGCTAGTGCTCTTGCAATTGACTTCCAGTGGACCAGGTGTACCAGTTGCCGCATGCGCCGCATCACGTGGAGCGCATGACTGTTTAGCATCTCAAGACAACATGGCAAGCTCTTCAAAGCTACTGGTGCTGGAAATGCGGCTAATTCGTCATGACATGAGAGTGTGTTCGACGACGTTTGCCGATGTTCAAATTCCCTGCGGGCGCTGACGCACAGTCGCCGCAGACGTCCGCAGCAGACACTGGGAACATCAATAATTAGGGATCTGGTGAAGCCCAGCCGGAAGTGCGACGGACAGTAGCCCATGCCGAGGATTTCGAGACTGTTGTGGATTCGATCCTTTCTTCAATTGCCTGAGACCTTTGCAGACGAGTGCGCTGCCACATTCTTTGGAACTCATCGGCCGACTTCACGCTGTTGTCAGTGAGTCGACCAGACTTAAGGAAATTATGCGCGGAAGTGTCAGCAGACGAAGCCTACGCCGGTTCAGAGATTCGCCCGCTGGACGCCTGACTTGGACCATGTGCCAAAAGTTCGGCTTGGTTCTGGTCACGTGAGAGTGCCAGGATGCATCCACTGCAGCGAGACTTTCGTCGATTCCGTATCCGGGTCTGGTCCTGCAGTTGCAAGCAGAGGAGGCAGTCGGCACGCTCCGCTCAGCGGAGCTCCAGGAAGAAACCCGTATTGTGCATGGCCGTGGCCTGAGCGCTTGCAGGAACTGGACCTGCTGCTCTCAGCACTTGGCAGAAGGCGCACAGATGCGAAACGCCCCAAGTAGCTTCTCGTGGCTGCAGCTTCCTCAGATGGGTCGTGCTGGAGCTCGGGGCGGCTTGGTCGGCTGCCAGTGCGGCAATGCGTGCCGAGTTTGAGGCGAAAGAAGCTTTCCGGAGATTTGAGCAGAGAAGCGCATCTCGGTTTACCTCACTATGCCACTATGATTGAAGGTCCTGGCGAAGGCCTACCCGACGTGGGTGTTCTTGCGTGGCGGGCTTGATGTCCTGGCCCAGATGTGTGTTGGAGATATTTTCTCTTCTCTTCGACCGACTGAGGCGCGGACGTCAACCAACTTCCTGGAGTTGCCCGGCGCTGGGCAGCCACGCTCGGCACTTGGTTCTCTTCTTGGCTCCTTCCTCGAGAGCATAGGGCTAGGGTGGCAGTCCACAAAGGCGCGTGCCGTGCTACATCTTCTTCTGGAAAGGTGTGGAGGACGCTTGCGCCCGCAGCTCCATGAATCCAGATATGAAGGTCGCCAGACCGAAGAATCATATCTGTGGGCGTCCCTGCAGTCTGTACAGCTCAAGCACGCTGCGATTTACTTTGACACCTTTGCAGCCATGGGCGCACCACCTCCAGCCAACGCATTGTTGGGAGCGCATCTATAGCCTGGTCAAGCAGCTTTTTTCCGTGACACACACGAAATAAGGAGGGCTGCTGGCTGATCTCTCTTGAGAAAGGTAGAAGGTTTCGGCATCCGAGCTCCCAAGCCATGATTTGGAGCTGAAGGTATACCGGAGTGGGAGCGATCTTGTCCTTCTTCGGACGCACGCCGGGTCAACTGCCAGAAGATGTTCTTGCTGAGATGTGGTCAATATTTCTGGTGCTCGGCCTGTGGTCGGCCACATACTCCGTGCCCCGGAGATGCACAGAAAAAAACCCTCCTGCGCGAAACATGTAGCAGACTCTTGTTGTCTTTACGCGCAGCTCTTGGTCAGGTCTATGACGTCATGGGCGTCGGTGTTGCCAAGCAGAAACACGACATGCACAAGATGTCCATGAAAGACCGCCCCACTACGGATCCAGAGGAGGTGAAGCTGGCAGACCGGGCTCAGATGAACCAGGATTGGCAGTCGGCAGTAGCAGAGAGTTTCCACTGTCCTGGAAATCAACCAAAAACAACGCCCACAGGTTGAACAGGTGACGCCATTCTTTGCTGGTGCGCTGATGTTCGGCTTCCTCGTGACTGGGTAACTTCAGCTGCACCCTTTGCCCTTTTTTGGTGGGGGTTCCTGAGTATTTCGAAGCAAACGGAAAAAGGGTTCCCTTCTTCGCAGGGGATGCTGGGGAGCCAAGGTGAATGGCAAAGTTGGGGGCATTCTATCCCTGATCTACTTCACGTTGCGCAGGCTCTACTGCAGCACCTACCGAGCTTCAGTTGGGAAGTCATTGGAGGGGGCTGGCCTCATCAAGTACACGGTTCCATGCTACTTCATTCTAAACGGCGTGCGCCCCAGTCCAAGTACATAGTTTTGGCGTTGTCCAGCACGGCTCCACAGGCTTATTTCTCATTGCATTCCCGAATGGTGCTCACGCCTTGGCTGTGTGCAATCACTGAACCATCACCAAACACTAAACGTACCCATGGCGATATACTATGATGACAACAGCAGTTGTTTGGCCCGATGAGAAATGAAAACCTCATACACTGACGCGCGCGCTGGATCTCGGATTCAGTTAGGGGCCGATGTGTTCCAGTCCCTTTGCCAATTCATCGATCCGTACTCGGTGTGTGATTGTGTGTGTGTCTCGGTCGGTCACTGACAAGGTTCGTGGTGTCGGGGAAGCCTTCCCTTCGTGTCCGCTGAGCTGTGCAGATTTGGCCTTTGAATGTTTTGTGTACTTCTGCATTCTGGTCTCCCACAGCATTGCACACTGAATGCAGAGATTGCGTTGAGCCCTTGTGGTCTGGACCGGTGGCCTCATCTACAATCTACTGGTAGTGCGTGTGATGGGAACTTGGGCCAACTTCGGTACCGGCAGATCCGATCGGAAGCAGCAAGCTCTGCAGCTTGTGTCAGGTAGCCTACTGGATTTGTTTGCCTTTGCGGCTTGTCTGATTCGAACTTCATTCTGCCAGACGGCTGAGGCATGAACATGGCTGTCGTCGTTCACATGGCCCGGTATGCGCTGGGACAGTGAACCTGCCAAGCTTTGCTTCCATCGGTTCTCACTCCATGTCGAAACGACAAACCTTGCGTCACTTGCTTGCAGAGTTCATGTGTGAAGACATATGCGCTGCAGCAAGGGCTCAGTAAGGGTCTGTAAGTGAACGCAGCGAGGCAGAAAAGATCGAAGCATCATTGCCTTGGCTTTGTCTCCAATTTTTCGAGTGCAAGCAGTATCGACTGTCAGAGGAGACTCAGTTTGCCGGTGCATCTGGTAGAAAGCCAGATACCCGGAGTGATGGCAGCTACCTCTGCCAGCTAACGATGCAGATACTGCCAGTTGTGTGAGGCTTCGTGAAGTCCTCGAGGATTGCTCATTGCTTGGCCCAGCCCCCGCATCAGTCTCGACCTCAAAGTGGTGAAGCAGTGCCCTCCGCTCCTTTGTCAAGATCATGAGCGTCTTGTGGCATAGGATGCTGAGTACATACGCGCCTGCAATGCAAGTGCAGGGCTAGTTGCGACAAGAACATGTTTCAAGAATGAGATGAAGGGAACAGGTTCATGGCTGCTGCAAAGACGAAAGTGTTGCGTCATAGCAACCTTGCATTTGTTATGCACGCCGTGGCAAAGTAGTCAAGCCGTGCTGCATCGCCAGGCTCATGCGGACCCAGCTGGGCGTGTCAAGGACTGGAAGATACCCGCAAAAGAGGTTGGACTCTCTTGATTGATGCCATCTATTGATTCCGACTGGTCTATGAGAGCCGTAGCCGTAGTGCAGCGTTGCAGCACTGCATACGCAAGTTAGCAATGTTAGCAGCAGGGAGGCCGATATCCCATAGGCGTTCAGGCCAAAGCTTCTTGCTAACCCATCTCTGTGCCCGGATCCTCTCGTTACATGCTTGGCAGGGATTGGCATGCATGTCTGAGTCGCCAAAAAAATAAATCACTTGTTGCGATCTTTTCTGCCCGAAGGTTCGTGGACCCGTGCAAAGCGGCCAATGACGAGCTGCGCCTGCACATCAGAAAAGCTGCGAAGATGCCCGGACTGCCATGCCAGCTGGCTAGCTGGTGATTGGTAATATATATGTGCACGCGCCTGTTGCACCGGCATGCTTGCACATGATGGTCACGGTCACAGAGGTAGCACACTGCTAAAATTTCACCTCCCATCATCTGGAAGAGGAGACTCCACGCAAACATTGGGTACTGCATGCAATCTCCACCCTGGTATTCGTAGTGGTAGTTGCGTTTCGGCAGACTGTAGAATCTCGGACTTCCCATGAGCTGCAACTGGGCGGCGGGTCCGGCAAGCTTTGGAAGCCTCGGCTCATCATCTCCGCAACGGCCTTGCGCAACTGCTGGACGGGCTCCGAACCGATCGAGCCTTGATGGGGCGCCCTGCATACGAAACCAGGGCTCGGGTTGCGGCGAAATTGCCACAGAGAATTCGCCCGAAGCCGATGTTGTGTCGGAAGAGAAAGCCAAGCGGAAGCTCCAGTTCATCAGCGAGAAGTACGAGGAGCTCAGGAAGCTCCACCACGAGCATGCAGCTGCAGAAGCTCGCAGCACAGAAGCGACGCTCAACAGCCTAAAGGCGGAAGCTCGTGAGCTTTCTGGGCAAGTGGACGATGCCACAGGCCGGAGACATGTTCCGCCAGAGCCTGGTTCTAATCGGTATAGTGTTCATTCCCCACATCACTGTGGGGTTTTTATTTTTGCGCTGCACCGCTCCCGCCATGGCAGGCTTCCTCCTACTCCTCCCGCCCACCCAACGCGACACACACAACAACACACACACACACAACAAACACACAACAACACACACACACAACACACACACAACAACAACAACAACAACAACAACAACAACAACAACAACAACAACAACAACAACAACAACAACAACAACAACAACAACCACAACAACACAACACACAACAACAACAACACACAACAACAACAACAACAACAACAACAACAACAACAACAACAACAACAACAACAACAACAACAACAACAACAACAACAACAACAACAACAACAACAACAACAACAACAACAACAACAACAACAACAACAACAACAACAACAACAACAACAACAACAACAACAACAACAACAACAACAACAACAACAACAACAACAACAACAACAACAACAACAACAACAACAACAACAACAA